ATAAAAGAAGGAGAATAAGAGAAGTTAAATGGACTTTAAAGTCAGCATTTAATACTCAATACCTTTAACCTTACTATAAGGTATACCATTTTATATATTAAATATTTAGAACGTATGCAGTAATGGATCCTAATTAATTAGGAAATTAGTCAATCATATATATTTAAACTAGCCAAGCTTTTGCCAATCAGCTATACTTCAGATTTTCCCTAATTGTAAATCTGGCATATAACATAAATGCCAAGATTCAACAAGGTTTGATGACGGAATCTGAATTGAATTTGATTTCATTAAAATCTGAACTAGTTATCATTAGAAGTACTGTGAAATTTACTAACCTTCTCATTAAGAGTAATAATCATATTTTATTCCCATTTTTATTAAAATTGCTTCTAGATGATATTAGTAAAAGTAATGAGGAGAAACGATTTCTATTCCTGTACGATATTTAACAAAGAACGATATCATTTGAGGTTTGTTATACTTTCAAATTTCAAAAATGTTTTATAGAATGTTCTATTTAATCTCTATGGTAAAATTATGCGTTCTGCAAATCCGCTAAACCTTAGGATCTTGAATTCAACAATAGTTACAGATTACATCAACGAAGGAATCATACTTTTGTCTGATTGTAGCTAAAGATAAATTAATTCTTATGAGGGAGAGATTGAATTTTCAGGTTTAAGAGTAGTCGGGTAAAGATACCTAATTATGCAGCAGCCATTGATCTATATATAGACCCTTAATAATGTCACAATAGACAATTCTGAATTAAGATCATTCTCTTCAATCAATGATGCTAACAAGTAACAGCTATTGATTGAATCAACGAGATTGTGCCCATTTAATGCCGATTAAAAAGTCAAGAAAACATAGCTCACTAATAGTTACATATCATCTGATGCTATCAATGGGAAGGACCAATCTTAAATATAGTATAGCATTAGCTGCAGATAAAGTTCAGACCTTAACAAGCGGATCTAGTAGTGCATTATTGAGAATTTGACTTTTGAAAATCTTTATTCTGGTGTCACTTTGCTATCTTTATCTCAAGGGTCATCAGACTTAACAATGCGAAACATCACTCAAAACAATGTATCACTTGGTCCGATTTAAGCATTTCATTTCTTTATTACAGGATCTAACGCATTCACATTGTGAATGATAGATATAAAATTCTATAACTGTGAAACTCAAGGAAGAGTATTAGCTACTGGAATTTTTACTTTTACATACATTGAGAAACTTGTAATGATAAATAATACATGTAAGAATTATAATTCAAATTTAAACACCCTTGATTAGTGGATAAAGAGAAAAATGGATTATGTTTCTTTAAGAGTTCTGCTAATCCAACAAACGCTATTTATTCATTTAACAACCTATACTTCAAGAATAACAATATTAACGCAAATTAAAGTATGATAATACATC